AAACCGACGGGTGATGATTCTTCGGCAAAATGGAGAGATTGAGTCGGATGATGGAAGTGGGAGTGACAGCATGCCTGAGTTGGAGGATGTTAAGGGTGAAACTTGTGTGGAGTATCCGGTTGCGGAGTCTTGGTAGTGATGCGTGCTCTTACTACACAAATGAAGGTAGATGATGAGGAGCAGCAACGGGAGAATTTGTTTCACACTAGGTGCCACGTTAAAAGAAAGGTTTGCAGTTTGATTATAGATGGAGGGAGTTGTACAAACGTAGCTAGCGCGACGCTTATGGAAGATTTGGGGTTACCTCTTATGAGGCATCCACAACCATACAAATTGGAGTGGCTGAATAATTATAGAGAGATCCGGGTTACCAAAAAGGCCTTGGTGAATTTCAGCATTGGGCGGTATAATGATGAAGTGTTGTGTGATGTGGTTCCAATGCATGCGGGACATATATTGTTGGAAAGGCCATGGCAGTATGATAGAAGAGTGACGCATGAAGGATTCACAAATCGTTACAACTTGGTAAAGGATGGAAGAGTTATCACACTTGTGCCTATGACACCACAGCAGGTCCATGAGGACCAACTAAAATTGAAAAGTGAGCGAGAGAATAAAAATAAAGAGCGAAAAAAGGAGAACAAGAGATAAGAAAGTAAGGGGCTAAGAGTGAGGGAAAATGAGTAGAGTCACACGAGAGAAAAGAGAGGGAAAAATCAGAGAGGATAGAAAATTCCCAAGTGAGCTTATATGCAAGAAAAGTCGAGTGTAAGAGAGCTTTAGTGAGAACTAACAATCTCCTCCCAAATTTGGATAATTATCTTTTGCAGAATGTCAAGGAATCAGTCCATGGCGGAATAATTAGTGGTGCGCCATACCTTAACTATCCATGTGTTGTAAATCACATGGAAAATTTGGTGAGTAACAAGGAGGATGTAAGTGACCACGTCATGGTAACGTATCAAATTCCTATACTTAGATTAGACTATGAGCTTGCATGTATAGAAAATTTCTTGTTTGTTTATGATGTGCATTTACTACATATTCTAGCATGTTACAGGGAGTTAATCATATAAGCTACGCAATTAGAATGCATTATTGTTGACTGGGTGCATGAATGCTTTTATTTTAATCACGATAGTCTTACCTATCCTAGGTTGGAATTATGGAGTGTGTTAGGAGTGAGTTTAAAGTCTACTAATCCCGTTCCGCATTGCAATTTGAAAAATGATTCTAAGTCACTAAACTTGTTCAATTTAACATTTTCATCTATTGGTGTTAGTGTTGGAATTTGTGAGACACGGGTGATGATACGTACGGGGCGGATACGAACTCAAAGGAGGTTCAAACTACATCATATAGGAGATGGACCATGTCATTCAATTGCTTTGATCGAGAATGAAGGCTACAGTTTACTTCTGCTGGGTAAGTCTGTAATATTTAACATTTTTGAGGTTGCTAATGTTGCTTCGTTTGATGCAAGTTCGGATTCGAGGTCGAATCCTTTCGAAGAGAGAGGGGATGATATGATCCGGGACAGGCAATCACTGGGTCGGGTCACACAAGTCAAGGGTTCAAGCAATGGAGTTCAGATGGGTGAGTTTGACAAGCCAAGATTCAAGTTTTGTGAAGGGCTCGGGAGCCGAAACGAGTTGGATTCAAAGTTTGGAAGATATTTGGAAAGAAAACGAGTAGCGTGGATTAAAATGGGCATAACTCTCAGCTCGGGTGTCGAATTTTCGCCCATGAGTACAATTCGGAATCTTCACAAAATTTTG